GCCATCCAGCTGTGATTAAAGGCGCCCATGAAGGCGTACGGGTCAATGTAGCTGAGGTGAGGGCAGTGCTGAATGGTCAACCGTTCTAGGTTAAACAGACTGGAGAAGGCTTTTTTCTGAATCTCCACCAGTGCTTTCATGTCGTTCATGATCAGCTCTTTCAAACTGTACAGCTTGTGAAAGGAAGCCTCGTTGATGGTCCGGATGGGGTTGCTGCTCAGATCAAGGGTAGTCAACTTGCGTGTGTTTCGCAGTGCATTGATCGGAACGCTCTCAAAGTCATTTCCAGAAAGGTCCAGTGTGTCCAACTTGCCCATCGAGTGGAAGGTGCCACTTTCTAGCGAAAAAATCTCATTCTGTGACAGATCAAGTATTTCAACTTGTTGCAGGAAGAAGAACGTCTGAGCGTTGATCTGCTTCAGGGGATTGTGCGCCAAACGGAGCTCAAAGAGGCGGTCACACTTTTTGAAAATATCATTAGGCAAGTACTCTAGCTTGTTATAGGACAGATTAAGGGACTGCAGCGTCTCAAGACTGTCAAAGAGCGTCTCATCTAACTTGGTCAGGTGATTGTAGCTCAGGTCAAGGGAGATTAGATTTTTCGTCTGCTCAAAGGCAAAGTGGTCGATTTCCGTCATGTCATTGGCGGCCAGGTTGAGGTGCTTGATGTCGTCATTCTTCTCCAGTTTCACCAGTCGCGAAATGTTGTTCTGATTCATGTTCAGTACTGAGGTCCGTGATGGCAGGTGCGCGTTGATGGGCAGACTGGTGAAGTGAAGGTGCGAACAGTCTACCTGCTGTTCGTCGTCCTCGCCATACGGCAAACAGGTACAGTTACCTGTGGAGGTGGCCTTGTTCTCCGCTGACTTGCACACCAAGCCATCGTACTGCTTGCTGATCGGTCGACCGTGCGCCAGTGCACCACCGGGAACACTGGTGGTGGGGGCGACAGCGGCGGTCACCAGAAGTGAGGGAAGAGTTAGGCAGAGAAGGAAGAGGAGGCCAAGAGGAGCGACCATAGCTGGAAAGGCACTCATGGCACTAATTGAGTTAATCACAGAGGTGGCGCGTGAATCAGTCCGTTTATTGAATTGTCAGACAATTAACAGCAACGGGGAAAGAGTGAGGACGAGCGAATGGGGAGAAGAGTGAACAGTGGGAAGTGAAAAGTGAACAGGGCACGGCACAGTGAGACACAGACTCTCAGGGAAAGAGCTTTAGCATTGACATGAACACCATTCAGGCGTGATCAGCAGCAGTACAATGCGCAGCTAAATGAGCTTAGTCTTCTCTGGATGCAGCCAGGCCACCGTATCATATATCCGTCGACCGGTGTCTCTGGTGGCGATTGCATGGTGAGCAGGCAAACAGGGAGAAACAGGGAGAGGCAAGCTGATATCATCGCTACCGGTCTACCTACCGACTATCGCCTAAAACGCCAAGACGTCGGAGACTCCGCTGGGAGACAGAACTGATCGGTGATGGCCCCTTCCCTTACCCTTTTTTCTCCCCCACTCCGCTGGCACTACTACTCTGGCTCACACCTGGAACGGCCAAAATGGATGAGCCTTTATCCTTGTGCTGTCGTTCAGTGCTGCCGTGCTCTCAATAATCATCCCCTCTCTCACTAGCTGATGTTGTTGATGTGTAGAGGTGGTGATATTGGCGGCTCTGCTGGTACTCATTGTCCCCTACGCCAGGTTGCCTGGTTACTCCACTCCACAGCCACTCCTCAGCTCTTGAGCTAACGGTATACGGTGTGTGTGTGGGCGCCACACTNGGTGGCGGCTCTGCTGGTGCTCATTGTCCCCTACGCCAGGTTGCCTGGTTACTCCACTCCACAGCCACTCCTCAGCTCTTGAGCTAACGGTATACGGTGTGTGTGTGTGGGCGCCACACTTAGACATCACCGGGGAGAGAGAACAACAACATTGCTATGCTGATGATTGTTGCCAGCAGCAGTGTCGAGCTGCAGCTCGTCAAGTGTCGCGTTGATGCGTTGCTACCTGCAGTGTGGTGATTAAACAAAGTGTCATTATTGCTCGCGAATCAATAGAGACTCGGTGTGTGCACTGTTGTGCTGCTGCGGCCGATAATCGCTATCACCATCCGTTGCTCACCTGACTTGCTGATAGGCGGCTTCTCGGGTGAAGATGTTTTGGGATTCCATTTGGAGTGCCGTCTGATCCACTGCTGATTCGTTTCGTTGGTAGACGGTTTTTGGTACGTGGCTGAGAGAAAGTACGTTTTTGTAAAAAAAAGTTATATTTTGTTTTAAGCTAGCGGAGCTACAGGCATACTAACCAACGCATTTGAGCATGTCGCCATTTTTGAAATGCTCCTCATTCACTGCGTGCCCCAGCAGAAGAAAGCCATTTAAGCAGCTATTAGTCAGTGAGTTTGGTAGTAGGCAATAAATATCCATTACCGACAAACTTCAGGCGCAATGTCTTTGTTTGAAGGCCATCGGAGTGATTGACTTGCTTGTAGGGAATGAGATAATCGCTAGATGCCTGAACAGATGGGGCAGTGTCTTTAGTGTCAATTATTGATTGTATTGCTTCGTAAATTACCAACTTGTCGTTGATGAACCACTGCAGGGTGGACACTGTGCGCGGGTGATTTATAGATTCTCATTCAATGACCATAACAGCGCTGGCTAGCTGCTTTTTATTTACTACAAACTGCTCCCCTACCTGGTTTGCTCTTTGGCGACGTGCAGTTTAGATCCACTCGGCCTTTGGGCTGAAAGTTGGCCCTGCTTCCGGTGATGCGTGGACTTTTGTTCGGAAGAACTGGAAGCAAAGAAAGTTTAAGCAATTCTTCTAAGAAATAACCGCCTGGCCATCAACTGCTCACCATAGACCTGTGTTTGTGTGTAGGGCAACAGGAGTGATTATTTATTTATGTCAGAAAGCAGAGGCACACAAACGCATTGTTTGCAACAGTACAAGTACCTCCAGTGTTTTATGGTCTTTTAAAGTTGTGAAATCTGCCAAAGAATAGCCGTCATTGAATTGCACTAGAGCACAGTGTTTCAGGGCACTTACCAGGCGCATCAGTTGATACTTCACAGCTACAAATTATAAATTGAAATGGAAAAGCATTGTGTAAACAAGCAATCAGCTGTTTTTTAACTCACCGATAAGTTCCCTGAGTGTCGAGCGTAACATGGCGCAGCCACAAACGAAACGTTTCATTGCCTATCGAATACACCGGAGACTCAAAGTGAACACCTTTGGATGCAAAAGAACGCACTAAATTGGGCAAAAGAAGTAAGCTTAGTTTGAGCTGGTTGTAAAATAATTTAAAACAATTTGCCTCTTGGTTTCTCGTGTGGAGCAAACTGAAAAAACTCTTGATCATCTTTGTACCTGGACGAATTGCAGAATAATTAGATTGCACATTTTCAAAAAAGATTCTATATTTCTGACCATTTTATTGAGTATAATTGTTTATTGTTGAGATGAAAAGTGCACTCCATTTCAACGTCTTCAAAAAGGAAAACGGGTGATTCAAATGTGAGGCGAACCATTGCTTCCATTGGTGTTGTGAAACTGGACTTAAAGTGAGCACTTCCTTCTTCCAGTGCAGACAGCCAGTGGACAGAGTCTACTGGCCTAATGCCGCTGGCAAGCCAGTGGGTGAAAAAGGCTAAAGGTAAAAAGATTTAATCGATTAGTCTAAAAGTCATTTTTAAAGAGATGACTGGACAATCTGGAGAGCAAAGAAGCACTAGCAGCCATGTCAAGCAGTGACGGCAAATCATCGATTTGTCCGGCGGGTGGCAAGTGGTGAGAATGCAAATTGCCGCTCAGATTGATCGTGCCTGGTAATTACAGGCGTCCTCAGAGAATGTGTGTGCACACTTGGTCCACTACACCTGCGGTAATTGATTGCACTTGGGGCAATCTCAACGGCGACCCTCGGTGTCGGTGGAGAGTGTAAACAAGCAGTTACGGCGTAAGGACAATCTGATTGTCAGTGCGGTCACATGCTCTCGTGCAGCAGAAGCAGCAACAGCAGCCAATAGCACAGAAGCGTCTGCAGCGCAATGGTTTGCAGTGTGCCTCTCCCCTAGCACTAGCTCGCTCAGGACCATAATTCACATTAGCAGAGCAGTGCAAGTAATCCTAGCTGCTCACTGCACAAGTGCCGAATTATGGAACAATTAATTAAAAGGACATTAGCATAAATGCCAGGTAGACGAGGGCCCCAGTATTCGGCAGTTTGCTGTGTTTAGTCGCAAGTTAGACAGCAAGTAGTCAACTGCTCACAGCCTTGCAAAGAAGTAGACACCGTGCGGCGTGGCAAAGTCAGCACCAGTGCGGCGCCTACAACTGCGGAGCCTACTCGCCACGCCCGACGTTTAATTTGTCTGCTGTGCGCGCTGAGCACTGAACGATTTCGGTGTCAGTGAACGACACCACTATTACTTTGATAGATCGAGGCTAATTTCAAATTCTGTGCATATTCACACTGCTGCTACGTGGTAGGGACCGAGAGAGGAAGAGAAAGCGTTGAGGAAATGGCCCGACCAAACGATGTCCAAACAGTCAGACTCCGTTCCAAGGAGACTTGGTTGCCATCGTTAAGCGTCACTTGCCAGGCATTATCATGCTAAGTGGCGGTGCACAGGACCAAGGGAAAAGTCGTGGTCTTTTTTTGCCACTGCAAAACAACACTTATATGTTTGCTTGCACAATTTGTGTCCCTGTGGCGACTAATAGTTTTGCTCAATTTCAAGAAAAAGTATTTCCTATCACCTTCTGCCTTTTTAGTTTGATAAAACACTTAATGTTTGTTGCCGGTATCATCACTGAGTAGTTGGACTGTGTATTCTAAATGGTAATGAACGTGCACTCACTTATCAGTAATCAATGACAACTCAATATTGAAATACA